CTCCCTCAACAGTAGATCCCTTCCTGCAACAATAGAGCCCCCACCAACATCACCAAATCATGAACAACTGGGAAATACTGTTGTCGAGTATAACAAAATTGAATTTTAGCCATGCTTGAAGTGATTGTAGCCATATAAGTGCATTGCAACAAGAACAGTTGAGTACTGTTCACGATACTTTCTTATTTGCACTAACATCCAAATTTTCAGGACAAGCTTTTGGGGTGTGCCCCTTCTTCAGGGTCCAAGCAGTACTAAAAGGTTTTAGCAGAATTTTAAGTAAGATAATCTCTAAGGGCAAAAAGAAAATTTGGATGTCAGTGCAAATAAAAAAAGTATCACGGACAGTACTCAGTTGTGCTTATTTGAGCCATGCAAAGCTCTCTTCAAAAGTTTTGCAAGGAAATGAACATTGTACTGATTAATTCAAAGTACCATGCCAAAACTCTGTCATTTCGAGTAGGGGTAGGTAAGCCGTAAAAAAACCTATTAGGTCCCCAATAAAAAAGACAGCATGAAGAATGCATAGTGTGTCTCAGTAGTGTCCTCAGCCCTCCTTCACATCACTCCCCCACAGTAGTATTCTGTGCCCCCCCCCCCACAGTAGTGTCCTCTGCCGCTATTTACATCATCTCTCCCACAGTACTGTGCACTGCCACCCACATTAGTGTCCTCTGCCCCTCCCTCACACAGTAGAGTCCTTTGCCCCCCCCCCAAAGTAGTGTTCTTTGCCACTCTGTCCCACCACAGTAGTGACCTCTTCCCCCTTCATACAGTAGTGTCCTCTGCCACCCCCTCATAGCAGTGTCCTCTGCCCCCTTAACATCACCCCCCCACTGTAGGGTCCTCTGTCTCCCATAGAAGTGTCATCTGTCCCCTTCCCCCCACAGTCATGCCATCTGCCCCCCCCCCCAAAGCAGTGCCCTCTGCTCCCCTTCACATCTCTCTCCCCCAATGTAGTGTCCTCTGCCCCCCCCCTCCAGTAGTGTCCTGTTCCCCCCCAAAGCAGTGTGCTCTCTTCCCCCCAGCAGTGTCCTCTGTCCCCTTCACATCACCCCTCCCTACTGTAGTGCCCTCTGCTTCTACATAGCAGTGACCTGTGCACCCCTTCACATCTCTCTCCCCCAATGTAGTGTCCTGTGCCCCTCTGCCCCCCATAACAGTGTCCTCTGCCCCCCCTCCAGTAGTGTCCTGTTCCCCCCCAAAGCAGTGTCCTTCCTTCCCCCCAGCAGTGTCCTCTGTCCCCTTCACATCACCCCTCCCTACTGTAGTGCCCTCTGCCTCTACATAGCAGTGACCTGTGCACCCCTTCACATCTTTCTCCCCCAATGTAGTGTCCTGTGCCCCTCTGCCCCCCATAGCAGTGTCCTCTGCCCCCCTCCAGTAGTGTCCTGTTCCCCCCCAAAGCAGTGTCCTCTCTTCCCCCCAGCAGTGTCCTCTGTTCCCTTCACATCACCCCTCCCTACTGTAGTGCCCTCTGCCTCTACATAGCAGTGATCTGTGCGCCCCCCCCACAGAAGTGTCCTTTGCCCCCACCAGCAGTGTCCTTTGCCCCCTGTACATCACCCCCCTCACACACAAACACACACTAGTATGTAGGTAGCACTCTCCTACCTTACACAGGTGTACTGCAGAGCGGGAGGCAGCACAGTACTGGATGGAGGGCGCCTGGCGTCTTAGCAACCAATCACCTACTGGTTAACTCAAAGGGTTAGCTGAGGAAGCTCCTGCTCCCATTCTCCATCCAGTACTGTTCTACCTCCTGCTCTTCACTCTGCAGTGAAGATGAGAGTGGGAGAGGCTGGGGAAAGACTGGAAAAGCAAGGCTGTGTTTGCCTACGGTCAATGAGTAAATTGTGATCAATGGCTTGCCGACCCCGGTGTAGACCAATTCTCAGTACAGTAAAGACAAAACCTGGGAAGTCAGAATGGTATAGCACTGGGAGCGATGTAAAGAAAGTAGGGGAGCTTTATGTCAGAGATAAGCCTGTGGAAAATAAAAAAGGCTGCTGGCCAGATTGCAAAGATCTATCTATAGCCTGACAAATGCTGGCCTCATGATCCACTAATGTGATCTCTGATGCCGTTATAAGATGTAATAGGGATATAATGATGCATGGTAGGGTGTGCTGTTCTGTGATAAATGGCAGGGTTTCCTTTCTGTAAACTGTACAGTACATGACATGCTGCCAGACTGCTCCATTTTGTTTGCTGTCAGTGTTTCATACTACATCCTCAGTGTTCCATTCTGAATACTATACTGTGTGTTATATTTCCAGACTGGCAATCATCACAGTGTTGACGCTTATTATAGACAGAACTTTTTCATACCACTGAGACTATTGAATTCCACCCTTTTCATAAAATAGGAACACTCTTACTAGTAATAGTAAGAAATAATAATTTGGTACTAAGTGGCATTTGTTAGGTGCAAAGCAAACTGTTTATGTTAGATTATTCTGCTCTGTATCATCAGTGAAAATTATCAATGTAATTACTGGTCCAATTAAACAGGATTAAAACTATGGTTCAAAACAGGCAATATACACTTGATGCCATATGATAAAATTTGTATTCTCTGCTTCTCAGTCTGGTGGGGTTTAGGGAGGAAGTGGAGCCAGACAGTACATATATTTTGGAAGATCTGATCACTTAGTGCTTATTAGAAATGATTTTAGGTTTTCGGTTTTAGGTAAAGGGATCATCAGTAGGGTGATAAGGGAGACACCAGCCGGATGGTCCCACAACTTGGGTCGAAGGCCAGTATAGTACCTTCCTTTTCAACCTCCTCTACTGAATCTGAATCTAGCAGGATCTCGCCTATGTTCTCAGATTTTGATGATCCAGAAGCCATATAGATGTCCAGTGTCTGCTGACCTCCATCCATCTGCAATGACAGATGTTACTTTACAAATGCAAGGACAGGTCAGTGTACTGCAGACGTAGAAAAGAAAATGGACAAAGTTTTCAACACCTTAGAGATTGATAATTCACTTGAAAGCTAAATTTGAAAATCTTGAAAATAGATGCAAAACTTTTTTTTAGTTTTGGATAGAGAGGGATTAGACCCCTGTCAGTTTTTATTGCTGTCTGTGCCCCCATTAGGGGGATTCACCCTCTCTATTTGTCCTGTTTACCATTTTCATTAAAAGTGAAAGTAAAAGAAAATCCCAAATTTTGGGTTGTCCCCAGAAAAGTAATAGAGGGGAATTCTTCCAATGGGGACACTAGCTCTGGTGACCTGGGGGTCCCCAAGGAATACCCTTAATTTGCAGGGATTTCCTCTCACTTCCTATTTGTCTATGGCAGGGGTCTGCAACCTTTAAGACATAAAGAGCCACTTGGACCCGTTTCCAAGAGGGAAAAAAAGATGGGAAGCCGCAAAACCATTGGGAAAACAAATCCGACACTGCATATATTGCAAAAAACGCTCTGGTCATGAAGGGGGTTTAAGGGCCCAGTAAGCAAAGGGTTAACCATGTGTATCGTCATAATCACAATCATAGCCATAGGTCAGTGGTGGGCAACCTTTTTTTTCGACTGAGCCAAATCTCGCCAAAACCACGATTGAAATTTATTTTGAGAGAAACATTTTTAAAACTGAAAATACATCCCCCATATAGTAATTCATCCCCCATATATAATTCATCCCCCATATAGTAATTCATCCCCCATAGTAATTCATCCCCCATATAGTAATTCATCCCCCATATAGTTTTATAGCATCCCCCATAGTAATTCATCCCCCCTATAGTAATTCAGCCCCATGAATAGTAATTCATCCCCCCTATAGTAATTCATATATAGTAATTCATCCCCCATATAGTAATTCATCCCCCATATAGTAATTCATCCCCCCTATAGTAATTCATCCCCCCTATAGTAATTCATCCCCCATATAGGGGATTCATCCCCCATAGTAATTCATTATAGTAATTCATCCCCCCTATAGTAATTCATCCCCCCATAGTAATTCATCCCCCATATAGTAATTCATCCCTCCTATAGTAATTCATCCCCCATATAGTAATTCATCCCCCCTATAGTAATTCATCCCCCATATAGTAATTCAATATAGTAAGTTTCCCCATAGTAATTAATCCCCCATATAGGGTAATTCATAATTCATTCCCCATATTGTGTGAATTCACTTACCTTTGCTCCGCGGTTCCTCTCGCTGGGTTCCCGCGCCGTTCTGGTCTTCAGGGAATACCTGTGGAGGAGAGGAATTTGCAGGGCTGCCCCGCCTACATTCTGACAGCCAATGTTTGCCAGCGGGCGCCCGGCACACAGAAGATCTGCATTAAAAGAGCCGCGGCTTGCCAGACCCTATTGCCTGTCACCTGGTGGGCAGTGTGCTCCGGAGCCGCAGGAAAGGTGAAAAAGAGCCGCATGCGGCTACCGGAGCCGCGGGTTGCTGACACCCGGTCTATGGGATAGGAAGTGAAGGGAAATCTCTGCAATGGGACACAGATGGTGAAAATAAATCTGACAGGGGTTATAACCCTCCCTTGCTCTATCCAAAATGAAGAAAAAAGTTTTGCCTACAGTACAGCTTTAAGGAGTATAAATCTCCAAGATGGTCAGCTTGGTTTAGATTTCACATGATCTTGTGCTGCTGCCATTAGCAAAGCATAGAGAACTATATTCGATCATGAAGGTCCAGATTCAGTATAGATAGGGTTCCTTTCCTACCTATTTTTTACTTAAGGGGTATGGAACCAGCAGGTCTTCCAGCAGACTCACCTTCCCAATGACAGTCCAGACCTCAATGACAGACAAGATTCTGGAAAGAAAAAGAGCAATCATAACCAGGGGCGGACTGACCATTTGGAAACTTGAGCACTGCCCGAGGGCCTGGGGTCAGTAGGGGACCCCATGAGATGCCCCTGGTACCTTTTTCATAGGCTTTTTTGAGTTTGGGCAAGGACACAGGGGCCCCATGATCCCCTATTGCCTGGGGGCCCCATCAGTCAGCCTCTGATCATAACAATGATTACAAAGTTTGATTTCTTGACCATTTTCCTACATTTGCTATCATATCAATAAACTATCAACTAACCAGCACATAGGGTTCTTGGATGATCAAGTTTATACTGCTCAAATTGCTGAAGACCTTGTGAGAGGACACTGTTGGCCATCCTGCAGTCACACTCAAGTAAACAGGCTTGAACTGCATCTACATAATTATGTTATAGTTTCATAATAGTTATTTGCATTATTTTATATATGTTCTATATTTGTTCCAAAACCTGGGAAATAGATGCTCAAATCCCAGATTTCCACCCATGCTTCCCATGTATTAATCTCAAGCTCGTATGTAAGCAAGTATGTAATTTCTAACTCAAATATCTGATATAAGATTTATAATGAACATTATAATTTTTTCGATAGTTATATATTTACAGCTTTTATAAAAATAACTGAGTATTGGACATGAAGGTCCTTGTTCAGTAACCTCCTGTTATGAGGTGACTACACTCTCCATGTCACCCAGTCATATACTTATGATGTCACCCTGTCACACAGACGTCCGATCAATATTAAAAGTAGCCATTATACTCATCATTCTGGCATGTTGTCACTATCAGGAAGCCCGTGCTGAGAACACCATGTAGTCATCACTGGAGGATATGTATATAGTCAGGCAGTGGCCCTAAAGAGGTTAAAGGAGATCAGCACCAATGAGATGCAACAAAATGTACTTTATTTTTTAAAAAAAAGCAATTGTTGGAGTAGCTCAGGAGCTGTTGAACATAGCATATGCAGCTTAAATCAGCTCCGTGCCACCCACTCATCCTTTCTTCATTGCACTGAACTTCGGGCATGCTACTATGCTATTATTACCCTCTTCTTCCCCTCATACAAGCCAGCTGGATTTTAATGGGTAGAAGGAATCAGCTCAAGCAGATCTGTCAGTGAATCATGTGTGCCAAGCTCCAGCATGACCTACAGACAAGGCACCATTATCTCTATATACGGCCTCACCTTCCTCCTGCAAACATGCTGCCAATTTCGTGGACTCTTTGTTGGGTGACTGCTGCCCAGTTTCTTGACCAGACAGGAAGAGGTCTCAATTAGGAACAAAAACTTGCTATAACATTTTAAGATCGTTCTCCAAAAAGAAATCACGACTGCCCTATAACACATCATTGCACACCTCACAAAAGAAATCAGAGACTTAGATGGCTGCACAGACCTGCTTTAAAAGAAAATGATTGATGCCATCAAAGTAACTGATTCCTACTAACAAAACATGGAATCTCTGCAGGCTGAGTTGGATGGGGTTTTTTCAAACTGGAGGATGTTGAAAATTGAGCCTGCAATAGGACTGTTTGGATCAGAGGCCTTCCTAATTCTATTGAGGACCTGCAATCTTCATTCATGGTGTTGTGCCAAGAACTGCAACCTGCGATACCATTTGAACATTTGAAATTTGATAGAACCCAACATACACTGGAGCCCAAAGGATCCTCTTGACTCCTAGGAGACGTAATCATGAAACTGACTTATTACAATATCAAACTGGCCTTTTTCCAGACAGTTCATAGCTCCTTGAACCTTATCTCTCAGACTTGAAGACTCATCACATTAAATATGTGTAGGCTTCAGCATGTGCCTGGCTGAGGACCTGGAGTAAACTGGATTTAAAGACATTTTCTGGAGGACACTACTTTAGGGAGCAGTGCTGGAGAAGGATCCCTTTTTCACTGAAGAGCGTCACATAGACGCTGATTGGTAACAGCTGTCCTTGGACATTGTGAGTAGGACCGTTGCATAGGAATCCAGGTGTGCTTGTGCCTTGGGGTATGAATGTCAGAGGTTTCTGCAAGGACTGTGACTGCTCATACAGAGTTTCAAATGGACTGGCTATCCCCTCTTCCTCCAGCAATGTTTAAGGCTTCTGCTAAAGTATTTTTGCTTGAGAATCTGTGTCCTCCTGTTCCTTTTTTTGCATTTTTGAAGTATCCTACACCTGCATCCCCCTCTCTTATTCAGTTACTGCAATAAATCTAAAAGGATGGAATGGAACACAGCAGTCCAGAGAGACATGAGGCTCCAGGTACCTCCATCAAGCTAAAGGGTGCTGGCATGTCTTCAGGGACTGAGGACAATGGACTACTCTTGTGACTGTGAGAAGAGGACTGTGACTGGTGAGCATTGTTTCTCCTTTTGTAGGCCTTTTCTCACAGATTGCTGATTGATTCTGTAAAAGAACTGAACTGTTGCCTACAATCTGTGGCAACCTGCTCTAAGTGGTTTTGCTGCAAGGTACCTATCAAATGGGATCCTCTGTCCTCATGACTGCTTGCTGAACTTGTGCCTTTGACAATTTGTTGTGTGATGAACACGGTGCACGACCCCAGCCCTTCTCACCAACTTGTGACAAAGGTCCAGCCGATCTCACACCGCGCTGTCACTTGCGTAACAATGCCACTCTTAATTGCGCCCTGCATAAAAATTTTCCAGCTCATGAGACCACAATCTATGTGCCAGCAGCCTGAGAGCGGTTGTCACTGGGTTAATTAATTAGGCAATTAACTCTTTAAACTGCCACCACCGTCTTTTTACTGAGAAGGAGGAAACTCACAATCTTTTAGCATAAATGTCTGCAACACACACTGTCACCACAGACAGGTATATTCAGAGGATTATGATATACAGTAGCACTCAGGGATTCTTTAGTTTGCATTAAAAACCTTAGAGATAGTTTTAACACTTTTCAAAATAGGGTTTACTAACCACTTGGCAACCGCGCTATAGCCGAATGACAGCTAGAGCACGGTTGTCCAGTTCTGGGAGGGCATCATATGACGTCCTCTCAGAATGCGCCCTCCCATGCTCCCCCAGTGGCACGCACCCGGCAATCTCCATGATTGCTGTGTCCTACGGACACAGCTGATCGCGTGATATGGTAAAAAGGCCAATCACACAGTAGATCACGGGGGGTAAATACAGTTGCCGGTTATCGGCTGCACTTTCCTCACTCTGTCACAGCGTTTGTCAGAGAACAGATCAGTACTGATCATCAGGGCACTGATGATCAGTGCCCAGCAGTGTCGTGCAAAAGTGCCACCCACCAGTGCCCAGCAGTACCACCATCAGTGCCAATCAGTGCCACCCACCTGTTCCCATCAGTGCCCAGCAGTGCCACCCACCAGTGCCCAACAGTGCCCAGCAGTACCCCCATCAGTGCCGCCCATCAGTGCTGCCCAGCAGTGCCACCCATCAGTGCCCAGTGGTGCTGCCCATCAGTGCCACCAGTCAGTGCAGTCCATCAGTACCCATCAGTGCCACTTATCAGTGCCCATCAGTGCCGCCTATCATTGCCCATCATTGCTGCATATCAGTGCCACCTCGTCAGTGCCACCTATCAGTGCTGCCTATCTGTGCCCCCTCATCAGTGCCCATCAGCGCTGCCTATCCATGCCACCTCATCAGTGCCTATCAGTGCCCATCAGTGCTGCCTATCAGTGCAGTCTCATTAACACACATCAGTGAAAGAGAAAAATTACCTGTTTGCTAAATTGCATAATAGAAACAAAGAAAACTTTTTTTTTTAATTTTTTAAAAAAAAAAATTTATAGTGCAAAAAATAAAACACCCATTGGAGATTAAATACCACCAAAAGAAAGCTCTATTTGTGTGAAAAAATGATAAAATTTGTAATTCAACGTGCGACAGCTCTGAAAGCTGAAAATTGGCCTGGGCAGGAGGGGAGTATAAGTGCCCAGTAGGCAAGTGGTTAATGAAAAGATGAAATGATGCAATTAAAATATTTACAGGAAAGAGGTTACAAAGAAATAAAGAGAACAATAAGATAAATAAAAGGAGGTGAAAATGGAGAATATTTGCAAAGTCCTGGTATTAGCAGAGTCCGTTTGTCCAAGCAAAAACGTTGCCGTCCTTGGGTTTTCCTTGGTTCATGTTAAAAAGAGATCTTCCTTACCAGGTCCTCTCATTCCCTTTTTTGTAATATCAAAGGGGTGTGGACAGAGACCCGCTGACCAATAATCCGATTTAAGGGATGGGTGCTGGGAGTCCACCATGTTTACAACCAATTCCCAAATACAGTTTTACACTAATATTAATAACTTCCAATACGTGCAGGAGGTATTCTAGAAACTAACAGAATATTATTAATAATTATATTTCGTATTCAGGGATAACAAATACAGCGTACTTTTGTCACCCAGGAGAGAGGCGACTGCTTTCTCTCCTTTCGTATTTTCTAGGATAGTCATGTATAACATTGATTTATTTGGTATGATATTCCCCATTCAAATATATACCTAATATAAATGTGTCCTATTCCAGTTGAATTCTATGAATGGCATGTGGAATCATTAAGTAGTGGAATAGACGTTTTATGGCACGCTCTGCATTTCTAGAGCTTTAATGGCCTATCACGCCATGTGTGACAGGCTTGAATGAGTTATTATTGTTTTTACGATAGGGCAGAGGGAAGAGTTTTTCATGGTTTGTGACATCCTGCCAAGACATCCTGCCAAGACTAATTAGCTGTTTACAGCTCTGACCAGGTCTGGAAGCTGGAGTCTATTATGTGTTAGATAAGATAAGAGGCTTTTTTGAAGTTCCTTAAAACTTACAGCTACAAATTCCACAGTTTGCAAGAGGAATGAGGGAGTAAGGTCACTGCTCACGAAACAAAATGGCTGAGACCTTAACAAGATGGCTATAACCTACAGCTTTCATATCCCTATTGCGCACAATCATTACAGGCTGCACTTGATTTTTCTTGCTTTCTGTAACATTTACAGTATGAGTTTTTATCTCTAAGAAAGATCCTAGTTGCAGGCCTGTGGCTAAGAGGAAAGTTGTTGCTTTCAATGGAAGTCAAGGCTGTGTTCACTTCCATCCTGTACTGTTGCTGGAATTTGTTTTCTTGAAATATTCAACCAAGGAAATGTGCCTGTTGGACTTTGGTGTGACAGAGTCAACAAAATTATGCATTGACATGCACACAAGTTTGTGCCTACTGTATTTTTGGTGTGGCAGAGCCAGTAAAAAAAAAAAAAAAAAAAGGTCTTTCCTCTTTCTTTCAGACT